TACAGTTATGCTAGGCTCCTGACTGCAGGCATAGTACAGTATCATTAATAGTATCAGGGATTGCCTATCTTACATGAGATGTGTTTGGGCCAGTCATTGGGTGGTCATTCCCTCAATTCCTGCTCCATTTTTACCCCTGGGTATCTTGTAAGAGGAACACATTTTGGGTTAAAGGTTTTGTGAGTGGGTTAATGTCCCTTTCTCTCTACTGGAAGTCCTGCCTTGCTTCAGGTGGCCACTGCAATCACCATATCCCCAGCTGGAAGGAGTCTCAGCTAGGGTCACCTCCATAGACTCTTCAGAACCTCCCCATCTCAGGTTTCCAGTTACTTCTAGAGATGCTCCCCCCACCCATCGATTGCTGTTCCCTCTCCCACACTCCCTCTCCCAACACCTGATCCCCATTACCCATTCCCTTCCTCACCCCCTTCTCTTACCCAGTTCCTTCCCCCCCTCCACCTCTGATGACTATTTTGTTTCCTTTTCTGAATGAGATTCACGCATCCTCCCATGGGTTCTACTTATTAGGTATCACTCTACTTACTTAGTTTCCCCAAATAATTTCTTAAATAATGGCTATCAGTGCTGTGTCACGCCATAATGAATCATGTTAAGTAAAACGCAATTGTGAGGTATTTTATGTACCTAAAAACTTCACAGGCAAAATGGCCTCATGAAAGGTGCTTGTAGCTTACATACAGAAATTCCAGCTAAGGTTTGAAAACTGATGTTACATCTTACCATTTGGGTATTTTTTAGACGTTTTGCTTGAGTGCCTTAATCCTTGATGTGCTCAATGCAATAAGGATACTAAGCTTGCTGTGATGTAAAGTGTAAAACAAATAACATCTTAAAACACAGTGCATTGTTGCCCGCTTTTCTTTTACTGCCAAGAAGGTATGTATTGGGAAATGGAGGCAACCTAGCTAAACTAAAAAAAAACACAGGAAAAACGGTACATAATCTCAGGTCCTAGCAGTGTCTCTCCTGGCCCCACCTCCCAGATTTTAAATCCAGCCAAATGCTTCTACTGATATTTTGCATTTTAAACTTAAATTAATGGCAGTTTCATCTAGTTGCTAAAATTGGATCACATGATTTATACTGTTTTTAATCTACTTTTTATAATTATGATATTGCCAAGATTCTAGTTCATTAACTATTCTCTATATCATTTTTAATTGTGCACAGTGGCCTGAAGTATAATTATTTCCGTTTTTTTCACCAGTCTCCTGTTACTGGAAAATTAGATTATTTCTATTTTTTTATTATAGCGAGTGCTGAGATAAGTATCATTATAATTTTGGAAGAGTAAAATGGTACAGGTTCTAGAGATGGGTGATCTGTGCTCCATGCCTCATGGCCTGTAACTCTGAACAAGTTACCTGGATCTCAGCTTGTCTGTCTCTGAAATGGGGATAAGAGACTACTTATTCCTCACAATCCCTGGGTTAATCCAACTCAAGTCTGCAGAGACTGTGGATACACCTGAGTGTATTTCTGTTTAGACCTTCCCCAAACTGTGTAATTAAACATGGTATTTTAACTGAAGATAACTAGTCAAATTCTGCATCAACATACAGATCATCTTTGCTTCTTGTCTTGATTATGTCAACTCACCCTAGAAGTAGCTGGAATCAGAGGAGAAAGCTGGCTTTTATACTATAGACTGCACAACCCACTGGCAAGTATTTAAGAGCTGATACACAAAGATGGTAAGACAACTTAGAAAGGAAATCGTGTTTGAATGCCAACCCTGCTTCTGTGCTCTGGTCATTCTCCTGTGGTCGTCTCTCCACAGACTTCTGTGTGTAAGCTCTGCTCTCATCCTCAGTTCATGTTGACACAGGACTCACTCTGTGGGGTCTGTGTATCAGTGGCTTTGTAGGAAAATACAGCCCAAGGCAGGGAGGCTGTCACTTCAAAGCATGCCATAGTGCTTAGACACAGCCAGGAAATTAACCATGTCGGCATATATTTCTTTGAAAGCCTACAACTCCCCCCCTTTTTTAAAATGGTGATAATAGCAACTTTTATTATAAACTCATTTCTATCATAAGGGGATGTTTAAGGTTTTCCTTCCTTCCTTCCTTCCTTCCTTCCTTCCTTCCTTCCTTCCTTCCCTTCTCTCTCCCTTCCTTCCTTCCTTCCTTCCTTCCTTCCTTCCTTCCTTCCTTCCTTCCTTCCTTCCTTCCTTCCTTCCTTTCTTTCTTTCTTTCTTTCTTTCTTTCTTTCTTTCTTTCTCTCTTGCCAAATTCCAGGAAATCTTTTCTGAGAAAATGTTGACTGGGATGTAGGAAGGCTCATGGAGAGCAGAGAGGGGTCCCGTTTCCTCAGTACCTCCCTCTTCTTCAGATTGCCACTCTCTTGGCTTTATAAAACACACTCTGTGATGTGCATGTGGTTAGCCCAACTCTTACCACAGCGTCACAGTGGAAAACAGGCCCTACAACAATTCATCACAGGTTTTAAAAATATTTTTAAATATGACCTTGGTATCTTATCAAGGTAATTTTCTAAGTTAAAATTGCCTTTTATGTCTGTCAGCTCACTTTCATTTGAGCACAAGAGGGGACAGGTATTTAATCTGAGGCTCCCACTACTTAAGGAAGCTACGAAAACTCTGGAAAGAGTCTAGCAAAGAAGAAAAGACAACGTCCTGGAGAACTGAGTATTTGATAAAAGTTGAGCTGCAATGTGTAGTTCACTTAAAAATGGGGTCAAGAGGTGGGGAGATTGTTTAATCAGGAAAGGGCTTGCTGTGCAAGCCTGAGGGCCTGAGTTCAAATCCCCAGTCCCATGTAAGAAGACAGATATGACAGTGAATGCCTGTATTCCTAAGGCCACAGTCACAGAGAGAGAGAGGGTCTGAGGGCTCATTGGCCAGTCCATCTAATCAATCCCTGAGCTTCAGGTTCAGTGAGAGATTCCATCTCAACAAAACAAAACACAAAGCAAAACCAAAGTAAGGTATTGAAATGAGAAAGATACCCACATTAGTCTTTAACCCCCACATACAGATATGTGTGTCACACCCCACAGAACACAGAAGAGGGCTAATGTTACCTTCATGCACCAGAAGTAAGACTATTAGTAACAGGATAGGAATCAACTAGGCTATTTTGGGATTAAAGCAGAAGAAACGGATTTATGAAAGGGATGGTGAATTTTTCTTAGGTAGAATTAAGATTTCCTTCACTACTGATGATGATGAAACAGGGAACAAGTGACATGGACCACGTACCTTACTTCAGAAGACAAGATTCTTGTCTCCACCTAAGATAAGGCCCCATGTATGTACAGTTTTAAAATAGTGCGGCTTTCTTTTAAGACTAAAACTTAACAATTTTAAAATTCCAGTGTTTTAAGTAAGCTGCAAGCAACAAAAGAAAGAACAGATATGAATAATAACTAGGCTTGGGTCTCATTTTAGAGTTAACACCTAATCTTATTTTTCGAAAGAAGACCGTGTGCTCGTAGGTAATTGCTTTCCTCATCTGCTTTAAGTTCAATAATTCTCGCTCATTGTTTTTAATTCTGTTAAAGTGTGTTTATTAAAACACTAATGAGGCCAAAGCCGCACTGATTAAAAATGGAATTATTCATTTAAACCTTTCGCTGTTATGAAATCCACGGTAGATTATACTGTTGGAAGATGGAGCCTCTGCTTCTGGAGAGTTGTTCAGAACTGTTGTTTTCAAAAATATTATTCCAGGTCTGTTGAACTTAGAATTACTCATAAAGACAATTTGCCCTAAGAGTTCTCGCTGGTGTGAGTACTCCCTGGTGACAGTTATGGTATCTAATAATAAATAAAACAGTTGGGTGACATGTACTAATCGAGGTGTGTTTGTGTCCCTCTTGGGTTTCAGGACAGTTGGGTTGGGGCTGTGTCCCTTCACTGACTTACAGTTATGCTCACTGATGTCTACTGAACAGCCATCCTTATTATTCAAACCTGCCTATATAATACACCCTTCAATTTCTGCTTCTCCCTTTTGCTTTGTATGGTTGATATGTTATCTTTTGGTTTGTTGTCTGTTTTCAGTTCTAGTTTAGATGCACTTTTTAAATAACCCACACCTTTTATTCCACCTTTCTCTTCAGGAGGTCCCTGGGTTTACCGAGTGACAAACACTTTGACTATTTGTTTCTTTGCAAACTCAGACTGCAGAAGGGCCAGGCAGATCTTTAACATTTTGGCTTTTGGTCCCCGCTTCCTTTCCTTGTCACATGGTGGGTGCAGGGAGCTCCTACTAATCTGAGCAGTTGCTCTTGTTTCTGTTCTGTCTCTTAGCTTTTCCTTCTCAGTCTCTTGCTGCCTTTTTCCCCACACCAAGGATGGCTCCATCTTTCCTTGCTTAAAGTCATTCAACTGCAGCCCCTTGCACAAAAGATGTTGTCCATCTGTACAAACTGCTCATCCTCAGGTCCCTCCACCCCCAGCCTCTTTTTCCTGCTGTTCCCTTTGGGTCTTTCACTGGCCCATTCATTACCATGGCCACATCCAATGCCATACTCTAGGCTTAGGGAACAGGAAGAGCGAAGCCTTGGAGCAGGAAAAGACTGTTAACGTGTAAGCAGTGGAGTGGTGCCACCAATAGTACCAGGTACCCTGAGCACAGGCTTGTGCAGTGCAGCTGTCAATGCTGGAGCCTGGATGCTCAGCTTAAAATGGATGATGAGGCTGGGGATACAGCCAGCATCATTGGCAGAGTGCTTGCCTAGCGTGTGGGAAACAGTATTCAATCTTCATGTGGTGTGGCTCCCACCTGAAATCTCAGCATTCCTGAGGTAGAGGCAGGAAGATCAGAAGTTCAAGGACATCCTCTGCTACATAGCTTGAGGCCACCCTGGAGATGAGAAACTTTCTCTTAAAAAAAAATAACAGTGGTAATGTCGAGAAGAAGGCGTGCTGTTCCTGTCAAGGGGAGCAGAGTGAAAAAAACGGCCCAGACCGACGCTCACACTCTGATACCTTCCTCTTTTTCTCCTCCTAGCTTGTGATGGTGACCACTGGGGGCCCCACTGTAGCAGCCGGTGTCAGTGCAAAAACAGAGCTTTGTGTAACCCCATCACTGGGGCTTGCCACTGCACTGCAGGCTACCGGGGATGGCGCTGTGAGGACCGTTGTGAACAGGGCACCTACGGTAACGACTGTCACCAAAGATGCCAGTGTCAGAATGGAGCGACCTGTGACCACATCACTGGAGAATGCCGTTGTTCTCCTGGGTACACTGGAGCCTTGTAAGTTGGTGCACTATGGAGTCGCACCACAGATACTGTGTGCCTTGATTTGCGTTGCTGTCCCAATTGTTAACTGCTGGGTTCAGGGTCCAGGCATCTCATAGATGGGGGGACCAGCTATGGTGGACACTAGGGCCCCCTGATTCTTGACTTTTGAATGCTAGAGCTCAGCCAAGATGTAAGGACCAGCCTTGAGGCTCATCAGATGGTGTGTGAATGAGGGTGTTTAAGGGTTACTGTGGCAGGCGTGGATTTCTATTGAAAATCTCCCACAGTTCCATCACTGTCTAGGAATAGTTAATAGTGGTCCAGGTGGTTCTGCCCTTGTGGTAATTAAGTGGATATATCCGGGTGGATCCAGAGCCTGAGAAAGAAGACTAAACTTTGCATGGAATGAAAGTCAAAAGTGTGAAAGGTCATCTGGGTCATTGGTGCTCATGGCCACACATATTTCATTATGCACATAAAAGTGTACATATCGCATCTACTAGGATGTATTGTGCAAGTTTATAATAATGATATTAGTATACAATATAATTACTACTAATAGTAAATTATTATTATTATTATTAAACACTGAAGCAACTCCTCTAATCTCCATGACTTTATTTTGGGAAGGGCATTCTTTGGCTTGCTTCTGTTAACTGAGTTTTTAAAACACAGAATTTGCCAAAAAAAAAAAAAAAAAAAAAACAAGAAATTAAGAGATAGAAAAATCTTCTTCCCTTCCTGAGAAAATTATACTCGTAAATCACAGAACTAATAGTTGTGGAAATGTAGCTGATTAGGTAAATATGTTCTGCTGACAGTGCTAATGTCTGTAAACTAGAGCTAAAGGAAAAAAACAAGACAAAACAAAAACAAAAAACGTGCTAAGCCTAGAAAGCCCTAGTTTTCAGAAGAATAGATTAGTGTTTCAAACTGCTTAATTGTTAATATCACTATGATGGGTTTCCATCAAGGTTAACATTACCCAGGGCTGTGGGAAGCTTGGAGGTAACTAGAGCAAAACCAAGGTGGGTCAGCGTGGGAGGATGCAGGACAGTGGGGCTGAAGGAATGGGGGCTTCTCATTCGAAAGAAGAGGATGCTGACCACTGCTGCTAAGCACACATGGGAGCATGTGGCCATTTAGACCCTCTTTCAAGTTACACCAAACTTCCAAAGGAAAGCAGCCTTCATGCTAGCTCAAGAGTAAGAACTCTTCTTCCTGGAGTTCTAGAACAGGAGCGCTTTGCCTCCACTTGGAAGTACCCCTGTATGGATGGTGGGAGTTCATGCAGTACAAGCCTGAGGGTCTGAGTTCGGGTCTCTAGCACCCACATAAAAAGCCAGGTGTGATCTTTGGTGCCTGTAACACTGGTGCTGAGAATCCAGGGAGGGAAGAGACAGAGGATCCCTGGGGCTTGCCAGACACCATCTAAGCTATAGTCAGTGAGCTCCAAGTTCAGTGAGAGACCCCGTCTAAGGGAGTGGGGTGGGGACTGCTAGAGAACACCCTACATTCTCTGGCCTCCACATACATGCATATGGGCAAGTGTGCACACACACACACACACACACACACACACCACACACACACACACACACACACCACACACACACACACACCACACACACACATACCACACACCACACACACACACACACCACACACCACACACACACACACACACCACACACCACACACACATACCACACACACACACACACACCACACCACACCACACACACACACCACATACACACACCACAACACACACACACACACACACACACACACACACACACAGCGGGGTGCAGGGAGAAAGTTCAAACCAAAACAAGGACCCAATGGTCCATCAGGACACTTCCATCCACTCTGATTAATGTTCTGATTAAATTAGTAATTACTGAATGAGGAAAGGTTGTATATTTTAGGGTTCTGGACGATATTATGTCTGTGACCCTGAGGATCCTTTACCAGGATAAATAACAGTATCTTTTCTTTCACTTAAATCCCTCAGCTGTGAGGATCTTTGTCCTCCTGGCAAACATGGTCCACAGTGTGAGCAGAGATGTCCCTGCCAAAATGGAGGCGTGTGCCACCATGTCACTGGAGAGTGCTCTTGCCCTTCTGGCTGGATGGTAAGTGTCCCTTCCACCCCTAATCATCACACATTCCAGGATGCAAAAGAGAATATCATATGGAGACTTTAGCACAAAGGCAGGTAGCAGTGGTTGTGACTCTCACACTGTGAATACACAGCCATTTAGAAACAAATCTCCCAGTCCAGAGAAGCCAGGAGGTAACTTCTTCCTGTTCTTGTCTGTAGAGTGTATTATGAGACCTCACGGAAGCAATAATGACCATGTACTGTGCATTTCCCCCAAAGAAGAAAAGAAGCACTTATCTGATCTCACAAATGACAACTAATAAATGCTAAAGTTATTTAATGACTGTCTTCACAATTGTATCCATAGATAACCACTGCCTATGATAATGTCCTTCTTAACAGGATAAGTGTCACATGAAAATATTAGGCTGTCATAGAAGTCTGAAGAAACACGGAAGTAAATCATGCAGATCAAGAATGGTAGGACTTCTGGGGCTGGAGAGATGGCTCAGTGGTTAAGAGCACTGACTGCTCTTCCAGAGGTCCTGAGTTCAAATCCCAGCAACCACATGGTGGCTCACAACCATCCGTAATGAGATTGGATGTCCTCTTCTGGTGTGTCCGAAGGCAGCGACAGTGTACTAATAAAATAAATAAATAAAGAAAGAAAGAAAGAAAGAAAGAAAAAAAAAGAATGGTAGGACTTTCCAGACACTGTAAGAAGAAGCCACACTCAACAAAGCTGCCCAGACTTTGAGCATAATGCTTTTTCTTTAGGTAGTAATTCTGTAGGCTTACTGCTGTGTGGGATACACAGTTTGAAAACATTACTGATTGAACATGTGAAGCCAGGAAACAGAATTTGTTCTCGTCCCTCTGAGTTGACTTATGCATGTCTTGAAGAAAGCAACGTCTTCCAAGAGCAGTTTACACTGCATTACCATGTCTGTGCAGGGACTCTTCTCACACAGCCTCTAGTGACTTCCTGGTTGTCAGGTCCACCTGGCCTCTTCTGTTCTTTCTCTGCTTTCTCTGGAGCTTTGACTCACTCGGTTGCCCACCACTCTGTCTTAACCTTCTGTTGTCCTCTGCCTCTTCAGTGGCCATCTCTCCCACTTCTCTCACTGAAGAGCTCTTCCTAAGCCATTTCTTCTACAGGAACTTCTCTCAGACCCGTGCCTTTAGCGGTCATCTGCTGCTTTCCTGGGATCTTTATCTTTCCTTCCCTGAGCCCAAATGCGATTTGTAACTACCCTGTGAGTTGCTCCAGCCTTGGTAGCCTGTAGTCACAATGTCACTGAATGTCGGGGCTTCATTTCAGCAGTACTTCCTACAGGCAAATGTGGGATAGAATTTATCTGGAATTATTCTTTATTGTAAACAAAGAACATAGGTGTAGATCTTAAGATATAAGGGAGAGTTTTATCAGGACTACTGGGGCATATGTACAATGAGTTGATCAGACCCATGATGAAGGTTTGGCCAAAGTCTGATTTTAAAGCAAAGTGTAGGAGCTAGGAAAGGAATGGAGTTAGGGGATAGAGCATTTTGTCTACTGACTGTGGGTTGTAGGAAGCTGTGGAAGGATCACTGAGGTGTTTCCAGCAGGCCCAGCAGAGCAAATGTTAGGAAACCAAACCTACCATATATATAATTCCGCCCTTTGGATCTGAATGCAAGTCAGCATTTCTTAGAAGCACAAGTAGAAGTGTCAGACTATCTTTGAGTCCTTTTCTTCTCTCAGCTCCTGTATTCAGCCTACTGCTAATACCAGCCCTTGCTGGCTTCTTGGCAAGGAAACACTTTTGCTATAGTGGCAATGTCCAAGGAACTCCAAGATCTTTGGGTGAGGAACTGCAGCCATTTCACTGTTCTGGCCTTCAAGTTGCCTCATCTTGAGGTGTCAATGTTTCCTTGATACCTGGAGGTTATGATGTGGGAAAGTCATAGTCACAGCCTGGAACTATGAGTTCAGGAGGCAGACAGATGAGTCCACTCAGTGGGCCCCCAGAATTTTCCCTCAACCATTTCCTCTAGGCCACAACGTGTTTCTTAATAGAAGCTTCTAGTTATTTTTTCCTCTGTGGATAACTGAATTCCCAGCTTAAATTTCTCCTTTACAACATATTGTTGTATTGTTGTGTTAGATGTCTCCAAAGGTGAACTTGCCTTCCTAACACACACACACACACACACACACACACACACACACACACACACACACACACACCATGTATATCTCAGCCAATAGCACTATCGTCATCATTCTGCTGCTGGCTCCCACGAGGTTTCATTCAAATCCAAGACTTCAATAGCATCCCTGGACCATTATGGGTCATCAGAGTCAAACCCTGAGAAAGTGAGCATTTGTACCAGACCCCACCACATACCAAGCCTTGGTCAGCGTTCACTGGCCCTTGGTCCATCATTCCTTCAGCAATGTTATTATATTCCATCAAGTGAAGTGGCATGTACAAGCACAGAGTGATTAGAGATATTTTTATATCTGTTCTCTTCATCACTCAAGAACAAACCAGGCAAAGGTGGCTTATCTCTGACTCTCAGTGCTCAGCACAATGCCTGGCATGCAGATGATTTTCAGTTAAACACTAACCCGAATCATCTCTCAAAAGCTTTTATGGTTCCAAGAGCCTGTGGAAGAATCTTTCCTGTTTGTGGATAGCTAGAAACCACCAGAGGGGACTTAATTAGCTCACCAACTGCCTTTGTGGGTAGCCGGTAGTTAGAGAAAATGTATTTCTTACGCTATCCAGAATAAACATTTAGCAAACCATCTGGTGTTCTAGCTAGGCTCCAATTTCAGAGTACACACAGTCTGTCCCTTTTGAAAGAGAGAGGATAATGGAAAAACATTAGGGGAATCCCATTATGTGGGGTATGTTCTTTGCACTAATTATGAATCCAATAAATATTCTATTGATTATAACTCCAATAAATCAGAGTCTGTAAGCCCAAGTTACAAGTTACACAGTAAAGTAGAAAACAGTGGGGTATTTCATTGATAGACTGAGATCTTGGGGCCATGTCTTACTTTCACAGGCCCAGAATTGGAATACACATGACTGTGTTTGCTAAGGATAGCTCCTAGGGTAAAGAGAAGTATCCTAGTGTTTGGGTTTTCTCCTCAGGAAATAGGTTTAGTTTACCTCAGAAATGCTTATTGGACCTGCTTAAAAATATCTCTTTTCTTCTGAAATAAAAGTTAACCCTGAAGACGTCTTTCTTAGGCAATATTATTGTTAATTCAAGTACACAAAGTTTTAATCTTATGCCATATTAATACCATATCATAATTATAATATTATATCATGTTAAGAAAAAAAACCCTAGTGATAGTGTTTAGCATCTAGGGAAGCATTCAGATGGTCTGTGTGCACCAGACTTTACTACTTATGGAGGAGATGCTCAGTGAGCACTGTTGACTTATGGCACACGTAAGGCTCAGGGAAGAATAGTTAGGAAGGTTTATAGATTGCTGCTTAGGTTGCATTAATAATTTTATTTAACTTTAATGTAAGGTTCAGTTTTTAATACAAAAGTTTCTTAGGATCGCTCTTCTGGTGTTTTTGAATGTAACTTGAGAGATAGTCTCATTGAATCAATAGGTCAGTCTGAAATTTCCTATATTTTAAAGATGATGAACATTTTTGTGTTCTAAAAGGCCATTAATCTAATTTTCTCACAGTCCTGGCCCCAAATCTCTCCTTCCCTTTCTGCTGTCCCTGTTTTCTTCCTCTGTCTTCCCTGGTGCTGGCTGGTGGCCCATCTAATTTTCTAAGTCTCTTTGAATTCAGGGCACAGTGTGTGGTCAGCCCTGCCCTGAGGGTCGCTTTGGAAAGAACTGTTCCCAAGAATGCCAGTGCCACAACGGAGGAACGTGTGACGCTGCCACAGGCCAATGTCACTGCAGCCCAGGATACACAGGGGAACGGTAAGGACACACTTGTGTTTCTCTGACTATTCATAATGAATAAGGTTCTAATTATCCTAATTAGAAGGAAAGTTTGGAGAGTCCAGGGAGCATGCTCAGTGTGTGCTATCTAATATTTCAGAAGTCTAAAAGTGTTCAGAAAACTCTATCATGAGTGTATAGAAACAGAGTCATAGAACAGTAATAGTGAACTGGAGGAAATCAGAGAGACATTAAAAAAAAAGACAATAAAATGTCAGCTGGTCAGAACCCATGATGAGCCTGTTGTTCTGAAGTGTTGAGTATTTAGGACAGACACTGTATTTTCAGTACTTTTAGATAGATTTGAGATATGACATATGAGGGAAGGGATGCGGTGATTGACAGGTTGATTTTCAAATGGAACTTGTACTTATGGTCTACATAAAGTACAGCTTCCTCTTCATTGCCCAGAATATCCTTAATAATGTTAGTCACTGGGGATGGAGAGATGGCTCCATAATTAAATGCATACTGCCTTTGCAGAGGACCTGAATTCAGTTCCTAGCATCCATTTCAGATGGCTCACAAATACCAGTAACCCTTGTATCTCTGATCTCTCCAGGAACTTGCACTCCACATACCACACACAGGCACATGTGAACACACATTAGTAATAATAATAATAATAGCAATGATAACAATAATAATAATCTAAATAAAAGAATAGCCATTGTATTTATTATATTTTATGGAGGTGATGACATCAGTTCTGTGGGAAAACTTCGAAATCTGTGATCTGTGTGAAACAGAAGCAAACGGGCAATTTTGTTCTGCTTGTGCTCCTGCAGGTATTTATTTATTTATTTATTTATTTATTTATTTATTTTTGGTTTTTCGAGACAGGGTTTCTCTGTATAGCCCTGGCTGTCCTGGAACTCACTCAGTAAACCAGACAGGCTTTGAACTCAGAAATCTTCCTGTCTCTGCCTCCCAAGGGCTGGGATTAAAGGCACCACCGACCGGCTTCCTGCAGCTTTTATATGCATGGTTGGCCACTTCCTGTATTAAAAGGCAAACTGTTACCTCAGTGGCTCTCTTTGCCCCACCTCCTCAACGTTGCTCTTAATCCGTAGGTCCTAGGAGTCTGGACAGCTAAGTTCATTGCCTGTGACGCAGAGTCAGAGCACAGTGACCTGAGAGGCACACGGGCAGACTGATAAGAACAAAGAGCCTTGTAATTCGTGGGCATGACACTTTCCCTCCAGCTTGTGATGAGATTTAGGAAACTGAAGGTCTTGGAGCAGTTCCAAAGCTTATCCACGCAGCTTTTGTGAGTGGTGTGCAAGAATCATGCAAACACTAGCAATCTAGGAGCCTCATACAATTACACACCACGGTATTTTAGTGATGCATGTAAACTAAAAAGGCCTTTTTACCCTAGTGGGTTTTTTTTATTTCCTAATTTCTACTTTAATTTTATGGCTATTGATTAAATACTGTGAGCTTCCCTACCTCTCTGGGCAGTGTCTGTATTTACTTATTAAATTCATTTTCTAAGTATTTTGTAATTTAAGAATTATCTTTAAGTTTCTAACTGGGTATTTTCTATATAAGTTTGCTTCTTAATTTAGTCTTTGTCAATTTTTAAATTAATTTAAATGTTTTAAGCAAAGACTGGAATTGTTTAGTTTTGCAATGATAGTATCTACCACTAGAGGTGATTGGTTTAAAAAATATTTCTAATGATTAGCTCACTTCCTTATTTTACTTATTTGAAGGTCTGAATTGCTGCTGACCAATAGTAGGTCTATGTGAGAATTCTTCCTTATACTGCTTTATTAGAGACAGTTTTGAGTATCTCTGCTGTTTCTGATTACTATGTTACCCAGTGTCTCTTTTCCGGTCCTTCCTTTTGTTAAGGTCTTTTGTTAGCAGTGTCCACTTAATTTAATTAAAAGTCATTTTGTTGTTTATTAATACAATTATATAATCTCCTTTTACTGTTTTGATGTATGAATTATAGACACCTTGATTATTTATTTTACAATGTAGGACTGGGCTACACCATGTGGCTTTGTGATCCACAGCCCAGCTCTAAGCTGTGCTTATACATTTATATTACAGAAAACGAGGTCAGGAAGAGGAGAGGAACAAAACCAAGCAGAATCTAAAGCAATGTTTTATATAACATTTTAGACTCTAGAGACTTTAAGTTTAAAACACAAAAACATCACACCTACAAGGCCAGTGAGCAGGTGCTTAGTAAGGTTGGAATACAGGGGAAGAGAAGAGCAGCTCATTTTCAAGTAAAATTTTGAAACTCAAGGACGGGGAAAAAAATGAGGTGGGGTGGAAGAGTTGTTCTACCCAGGCTTTTGTGGAGCGTTGGCGATGCCCTGTGGTTACTGTTTCCGTTGCTAGTCTTGCCTCTGTTTTAAGTTAACGTATGTAATCCATTGGATGCAGAAAGCACATTTGTCTCTAGGAGAGAACACAGGGAGTGGCTGTGGGGCAGTTTGTGGCAGGAGGTGGGGAGGAGATGCAAGGGTGGGGATCGTGAGTGTCCCTTCACTTGTCTTGAGACGTCAGTGTGCCTGGAGTGATTAGGAGGGGCTGCTCCACAGTGGTTACCACCACAGGCAGCTGCCAGCAAATACACCCAGGATGTGGGGCCGCCATCCCACCACAGAGAAACAAGTGGTGAGCCCTGTGGGCTGGCCGGACGACACAGCAGATGACAAATAAGAGGCTTTGAGGTCTGTGGGAAGACCCAAAGGACACTGGTAAGGAGATACAATCCAGTGAAGTCGTCAAGAATGAGATGATCTGAGGTCCTCACAAAGCTCTGTTTGAAGATGCTTTAAAAGGCGCTAATGGTATGTCACAGGATCACTCTGGTTCTTTGATGATAAGGCACGGCCCATGCCTATAAAGGATGCTCAGTGAGTATTCGAAACTCAGTAAGGAAGTCTGTTATAGTGAACCCCAAGACAGCCCTGCCAGATCTGTGTTCTGCATGATTCTAAAAGTGAAGAAAAAGCCCAGGTACAGGCACAAAGTCAGGAACTACAGCCCAGGATTAGAGGAAGGTGGCACTGGTCTTCAATGTAGGGCCACTCTGTCTCTGCGACTGTGAAAAGTTGGCTCTTTGCCAATTCCTGGGGCATTCCCCCAGGACGGCAGCTCCAGATGCTACCAAGTCAGGCTGATGACCCTGGAGTCCAGGTCTGATGAAGAATGTGTGAGTCTTACACACTGAACCATGCATCAGCTCAGCTATTCCGGTCACTCCGGGTGACATGCTCCAAAGGACAAGAAGGAGCTGCCACCCTGACTTCATCCCCAAGTTCACAGTACAAAGTTGATACAAAGTTGTGATCAGAGTGATATCAGTGGAAGGATTTGCTCGATTAATTAGTGTTTTGTCAGGTTTTGTCTACTTAATGATCATCCTTTTTCCTTACTCCAAAACACTATTAGAGATTTCTTTCTTCTTTTCTTTTTAATAGAAATTATCTTTTTATAAAATAGCAATCGTTTAATAGAAATAGTTTCTACATTTCTTTTCTGGTCAATTTTTATTGCCTTCTGTTATTTCTCTGCCATCTTTCTTAAGAAAATGTATTACTGATTCCTGAGATAGCCCTTCTTGTTTTTCTTGAGGGACCATAACAGCAACTTTAATGGTTTGAATGGGAAATGGTTATCTAAAGCTAGAGACCAACCAGAAAGTCATAGCCACTCCGTGAAGTTTGTTTAAATAGAAAATGTTCTGTATACACCGAACCGTCACACTGTACCTTATACATATTTACAGTTGTAGCAGTGATTTAAAAACCATGGGAGAAATCTCTACTAGAAAGCGGCCCTCGGCCCTCTTCCCAGGTGTACATACCTAACCATGATTGATAGGAAGGTGCTGCAGTACTGACAAAGAGAACCTGTTGCCATAGCTACGGCTTAGATGGCAAAACCAATTCATTCTGCATTTATACTAGACACTACTAGATACTTAATTAGAGGCTAGAAAGATAAATACAGGCTGGGACTGGCTATTATACATTTTGTTTTCCAAGAGAAAGAAAATACTGTGCCAATTCACAAGGAGTCCCACATACTAGTTCCCTGTGATGGGGCAAGGAAACTTTCCTAGACATCTGACATGCACGGCTTCTAACAGCCTTTATTACGTTATGCTAAAACCACATTAAAATCATGCAGATAACCCTAGATCCAGCCTTTTCCTGATTAACACAGTTAGCATTTATGTATTTACTGTGTGTGTTGGTGGTGGAGTGGTGCAGAACAACTTGAGGAAGTCCGTTCCCTCAATCACATGACTTCTGGGATTGAATTCAGGCTACTAGGTGTCTTTTCCCATTGAGACATCCCACCAACCCAAAGTTTAACATTTTGTTTTGTTAATAATGTTTATGGAAGAGGGTGAGGAACTGGTAATATATTTTTTAATCTTTTATTTCCACTGGTGTTGAGTTGCAAGGGTATCTTGTCAGACATACTTCGAAGCTGTCTTGCCAGTCTTTAGTCAAAGACTGGATTAGGTAAATCACTGTACCCCACAAAGTCTTTCTCTAAAGCGTACCTTTTAAAGGAACAATTCAGATGACTTGGTTTATAAAAGCATCTTGAAGGTTAAAAAATATTTGATGGCCTTTATAAAAATACTATGGTCTGAAAAATAGCTAGAGTGGTTCATGTGTAGCTCTAAAGTCTACATTTAAATTCATTTGAAGAATTCATTCGACGGCTCCAGAATTTCTTTTGTGGTTAAGCCCTTAGTGGCAGCATGCTGACAAGTGCACTTGGAAAGTTCTAGAAGCAGTAAAACCTGCTTTTAGGAGGCCCTCTTTGCTCTTCTCCATCAAATTTAGTGCATACCAGAGCCAGAGTCAACCAGCAAAATGTCAGAAGACTCCCAAGCTTTCCCCTCTACACTTAGAATCCCGATATTGACGCTCACCACACCCTATCATTAGAATTGTGCCAAGCCTGGTAGAAAGGCGGTTTCTCTTGGAACTGCTTCTGTGCCATTGCTTTTAAGCATGTCTTGCTGCTTGCATTGTTCAGATCTGGAAAATGCAATACTGACCTACATTTAAAAAAAAAAAAATCAGAGTCTGGCATGACCGGAAAGCCACATGGGAAGAGTCTGCCGAGACAGTGTCCCCTACTGTGGCATGTGCTCCACTAGATGAGACTGTATTTCTGTCTTCTTGGCAGAAGGCTCCCGTCACCTCATCTCACAACAGAGATTTGGCTGGCCCCGTTAGCTATTCATGCTTTCCATGAAGAAGCTAGGACTCCTTTCATTCCTCCAGGAATCAGCTTCCCACCTCGACCAGCTGACCAAAGCATCTCTCCCCACTGAGTCATCTCTTCTTTGTTAAAAATACTCTAAGGTGAAATTTTGGATTGATTTTTTTTCCTTGCCATGTGACAATCCTTCACAACAGAGGGCGATATTCCACTCCCCCAAAAACTTTGTTAGAAAACTCCAAGCCTTCTTATAACTTACAAACTAGGGTAGAGGACATCTGATTTTGAAAATTTCAGAATTTCTCGAGTCTTTGTATTTAGTTCTCGCTGCTACAGAGTGATCCATCTCGTTACTTTTTTACCTGTAATGGAATAAATATGAAATACTATGGGTTCACAAAGCATTTCAACTTGTACAGTTAGACTCTTTTGAACCAACTGTTGGCCTCTTATTTGAATAGGTGTCAGGAAGAATGCCCTGTTGGAACCTATGGAGTTCGCTGTGCTGAGACCTGCAGGTGTGTTAACGGAGGGAAATGTTACCACGTGAGTGGCTCATGCCTGTGCGAAGCAGGCTTTGCAGGTGAACTTTGTGAAGCACGCCTGTGTCCCGAGGGGCTTTACGGCATCAAATGTGACAAGCGGTGCCCCTGTCACCTGGACAACACTCATAGGTGAGTGCCAGTTACCTCTGGAAAAACGTTTTTTTATTAAAGTTGTCACCTTAGCAACTGAAAGCCCATGTTCAAAGGGCTAAAGTTATTGGTTGTGGGTGGATATTAAGTTATTCTATCAATCGATGGGGACTGGTAAAGATGACTTTTTTTTTTCTGAGATTAACAGAACTTTTCCCTAAAAGAAGGCTTGTGTGACATTCCCTTAGAAGCAGCGGTACCATGGAGAGATGGGTTAAGCCGAGTTCAGGATGCGGAAGCATCATGCTCACTGAAGCATTATTTGCTTGACAACACTTCTGTGGAAGAAGGAAAGGCTACCGAGAGGAAGAGGGAGGGTTTGTGAAAGCATTTCACATGTGGCTGTCACATGTGGAATCTTCAGGAACTGATTGCTCTGACAAAAAACCAACCAGCCAACCAACCAACCAAACGAACAAAAAAAACCTCACAGGGGTCTTTCAGCTCAAAAAGTCTCTCCAAAAATTTGGTAACAGGAAGCTATAATCCTGCCCACCCCACTGTGCTTGTCTGTCTCTGAAAAAATATCTTCCCACCTACTCCTTTCTTTACCCTCCTCCAAGGACCAGATACATATGACTTAGAATTCCCAGCCCAGTTGCAGACTTCTGGAAAAGATAAATTTGGCAAAAATCTAGTACAGTATACAATAGTTCAGATGTTAGCAGAAAGAGTTTTGTTTGCATTCAGTGCAGATGGTACTACACTTATACTTAGCCGTATCAAGTCCACAAGAGCTACAGGACACAGAGTTGTGTGGTTGGTCTATTCTTTAAGCCATTACTAGGAACAGAAGAAAAATGTATTTTGTATTGTATTGGAATGTGTGTGCATGTGTGTAAGAAATGTACTCTCTACATGATTCAGGTAACTTTGCTATGGTCGACTTTGGGTCTCCTTCATTGGAACATATTGTCATTTCTTACATGAAACATTTAAATATTTAGGTAATAAACTCTCTGCAAAGATTTATTTTTCAACTTCCTGATATATAGGGAGCTGGTACAGTTACACACAAACCATGAGTTTGGCTTCCTTTATTACAGTAAGGTAACCCTCACATAGCCTCATCACCAGTGGACTGTATTGCGCATTGAAACAAATGAAATCTAATAATGCAGCAAACCTAAGAAAAGAAGAAAGCAAAAGAAGACTTCTGTTCGGAGGGAAACTCAAGAAGCATTGTGACTTGATTTTTGGTGATTTTAGATGCATGGGGAATGTGATTTTTTTTCTTTATCACAAGACTGTGATGCTTTTGACAGAGGCCCCATCAGACTAATGCACACACGGCTAACAAAGTAGATGAGATTGTTTAACTATTACATAGATCAAAGCAATACTGTAATGAAGTGTATCAAATATTCAGAAGATTTAGAAATAAGTCAAATGCCATTATTCATGAAAGCTATTTTAAAAGATTAGCTTTTACAAATTTCTATGAAAGCTAGATACATACAGATTACGTGAGTCTATCTTGTTGGATACACAGTTGGAGTCATCTATTAATTCTTTTTTTTTTTTTTTTTTTTTTAAAAGATTTATTTACTTTATTTATGAGTACACTGTAGCTGTCTTCAGACACACCAGAAGAGGGCATCGAATCTCATTACGGATGGTTGTGAGCCACCATGTGGTTGCTGGGATTTGAACTCAGGACCTCTGGAAGAGCAGTCAGTGCTCTTAACCGCTGAGCCATCTCTCCAGCCCCTCATCTATTAATTCTTATATCTTGAACAACTTTGCGAAATGCAGGGCCATTTAGAGATAAAAAAGGGGGAAGGGCATATAGAATCATTGATTTAATTGAAAGCCTAATTTGTTCCCTTATCATCTAATGAAGTGATTAGAGATTTGCCATTATATATAATTCAAGCAATAAATGTATCCAAAACTCTTTCTGTGTAATTAATAATATATCTAACGAAATGTTCATAGTTTACATAATCTTTAGGTTCTGTGCATGAACATGTTGATATATGAGAGCCAAACATTTGAGGAAGGGTTAGTACAGGCTAGGATAGTTGACTCACAACTAACAAATGATGCTGAATTTAGTAGCCTTAGGCCATCAGGCATTCACTAGCCAATGACTTCTTACTGCATGACTTAGGCTCAGTGAGGGAGTCTCTTCTGCTATTTGCCATAGTTTCACCTGGCAGATCCACTGGAAGCTGATTGGTCCTGAAAATGCTCACTTCCTGTTTGGCATTTGGCTGGATGATAAGAATGACTAGGCCCATAGAGTCTCTGGAAGGGTAGCCTGGGCTCATTTTAGCCATCTGGCTTCTAAAGACAACAATAAGCAGGGAAAGCTCTAACATCTAAATACACTTAAGCCTTTATGTCATGTTGCCCAATATTCATTTATAAGATGAAACAACCCTTACAAATGGATCAAGATTCAATAGGCACTAATTTTTCTTTTCATTTCCTTCCTTCCTTCCTTCATTTACTATGTATGTATGTATGTATGTATGTATGTATGTATGTTTGTATGTATGTATTGGACAAGGCCTTATTGTATATCCCTGGTTGATTTTGGAATGTGTTATGTAGACCAGACTGGTCTTGAATTTGGCCTCTGTTTCTTTATAAGAGGGATACCCCCCAAAATAGTAGCCACATAAGTTTTTAATTCATTATATAGTTGAAATTAATTTAAATGTATTTACAAGTGATATTAATACTTTAAATCATAGTGAACCCAAAGACATTCTTACTGACCTAGACTTTCAGGTGGAAAACTAAGTTTCATAGCAGAAATTATTCTGAGAAAGAAAGTAAAGCCATTTTAATTAGATTGCACATATCATGTGTCTATTAACCCTTGCTAATAAGGACATTCAGTAGCCTTGAGCAGTCGGTGTGTGTCTTATTTTTGCAAATAACATCTATTCTAATTTGCTTTCCTGTTATTGTGATAAAAACCATGACTAAAACCAAGTTGGAAAGGAAAGGGTTTAATACTCTATCACCAAGGGTAGAAATTTAATAGGAAGCTGGAGCAGAAATGATGAAGAAGGGGTGCTTACTGGCTCCATCTCTGCTCATGCTTCCCTAACTCTGTTATATAGTCCAGATCTACTTATCTAGGGATGGTGCCACCCACAGTGGACTGAGCCCTCCCATATCAATCATCAGTCAAGAAAATCCCTCACAGACATAACCATAGGCCAATCTGATTAAGTCATAATGAAAATAGAGAACGAGTCTTAGCTGTGCATGGTAGTACGTTATTGTAATCTTAGCAAAGGAAGAAAATCTTGATTATGAGATCAGCTTGGGCTATGCAGCAAGGTCCTGTAGCAATGAGCAAGCAAGCAAACAAACACACCAGCAAACAACGCAATCCCAGGCAAGTGTATGGAGGTACCACATACAGAAGTACAGATGACTGACTGGGGTAGATAGATATAAAAGGAGGGAAGGATGGGGCCCAGACACAACACAGTAAGCTTGAGGTGCCAGGTGTTTGTCCAAGGATGACAGCAGGGACTATGTCTATCCATACACATGTAGATCTAAGTGTGTCTGAGACCCAAATGCTTGTCTTCAGCATCCAAACCTTCTCTGCACAGGAAATTTCAACTGTATCAAAGTATTTAGGTTTCTTTCTTTATGTTTGCTGAGCATGGTTTGGTGGATCTCTTGACTTTTTCCTATGAATAGCTAACTGTAGCAGGAGTCTGAAAGTCTATTTTAAGAAAAAGAAAGAAAGAAAGAAAACTGTACAAAATGAAGATCAAAGCATCCTAGCTTTTTCTGAAGGAGCAGAGAAAGGAAAAGGAGAAATGTGCAGACAGAATGTAAGATTCTGGGGTGTGGGGCAGGAGTGATGGCTAGGAAGTGGAGAGTATTTGGTGTCTGTGTAAAAGACCTGGGTTTGGCTCCCAGCCCCCACACAGTGGCTCACAACTATCTGTAACTTCATCCATCCTCTAAGGGAAGTATCTGAAGCCTTCTTCTTCTTCTTCTTCTGCGGGCACAAGGCATGTATATGGTGCTCATACATACATGCAGGCAAAGCACAGCACTCATATGCATAAAAAATAAAATTCTGGGGTGTGTCTGAGTCTTTCACACCAGCAGGGACTTCCGGTAGAAGGCTCTGTGTCTTCCCTAAAGTCACCCAGGTAGACTGATCTAGATATTCTGTCTTCATCTCTACAAATCTCCCTTTCCTGCTAAGAGTACAAATTCTACGAATAGTCCTGTAGAAAGACAGTTTAGCAAATGTCTAAACACAAAGTACATGTTGTTTGTCCTGTTCAAGGGGAAGGTCTGGGATTCGAGGGGAGGGGAGATGTCTTTACACAAACTTCCTGTTGTCAGCAGAGTTTGATTGTCAAGGCTTCCTGTGTCAAGAAGCACACATGCTGTAAGCCAGCTTGCCACACAGTGCTTTACTGTATCCACTCACTTACATGAGCATCTTAGCACAGCTGACGTGTCCATTTGCTGGGGAGCAACAGCTGGCTGCCTGGCCTGTCAATGTGGCTCCTGTCCCAGCTAGCAGCTGCTGCTTTACTACCAGGTAGCCGTGCTTGGAGGAGAAGCATGCTGCAAGGTCGTTGCTTTTGGAATTCCTTGGTTATCACACAGTGGACTTGGCATTAGATGGAGCTGGTCAGTGTGTCTCATGGTGCTACCTTCTTACTGAGTTAATGCTTTCGATGTAAGACAACTAAAAAGAATTTTAGACAAGAGTATACAGTTATTGTAGTCACTTGAGTAGGGCATAGTACTGATTTCATTCATCGGTTCTGCATAATAGTCGAATGTCAGCCAATTAGTTAAGTCGTGTCACCCATAGGCATTAGGTTTAAACCATGCTTGTGGAAATACCAGCACATTTGTGACTATTGAGAAAGCAACATGTGCGCATGCCTCAAGTGTCATGTTTACCACAGAATGACTTGTTCTTTTTCATCTATGTCTCTCAGCTGTCATCCCATGTCTGGAGAGTGTGGCTGCAAGCCGGGTTGGTCTGGACTGTACTGTAATGAAACATGCTCTCCTGGTTTCTACGGGGAGGCTTGCCAACAGATCTGCAGCTGTCAAAATGGAGCAGACTGTGACAGTGTGACTGGAAGGTGTGCCTGCGCTCCAGGATTCAAAGTGAGTAGCTTGGCCTCTGGAGGCAGAAGAGTGGTGCCGGGTGGAGAACAACAACAGCATGGTTTATGAGAGCTACTGTCAAGTACAGTAAATATGATCAAACCATTCCCAGCACTTATGGGAAGGGAACTGTTTGAGACCAGAAACTTTAACAGTCCACTGATGGCTGAGAACACTGATGAATCTATCAAGGCATCATTGATGTTCAATATTAGAACATATCAAGAAGTATGACCCATTATAACTATTCCTTATATATTGATTTTATTCTGACCTATCAGCAACAAAGGAATAGCTCTCCATGTGGTTGTTATTGTTTTCAACAGTTTCTGTTTGAATTCCACAAAATTGAAAGACACAACATGCATCAGGTTAGCATTTATGATATGTTCACACTCTATACATGGTTTTGAGGCCCCTTTAGGGGTTCAGATTCTACAGATGTACCTGTACAACACTGAATTGTGCCTGTGGTCCCTGTGACTATAGCTATTGAAAGGGGGAAGTGGTTAACTGTGATTCATTTATTCCCATTGTAAAGAAGATAACACTGAACTCTGAAGAGTGTTGGTGGTCATTCCAGGGCTCATAATATAGAAGGAGTCGGCTGTGGAGTCACAGAGCCAAGGGAACCTCTTCAGAGCTTTCTGATGAGTGTCACAATTCTCAGGCTGACTCCTGAGTTAACTTTCTCTTAAGAGTCTTCATCGTTTTGAAAAGAGATGTCCCTGGATCACCTTCCGCAGCTCAATTCTCTTTAATGCCCACTGCTGAATAAACTGAATCATACCACTGGCTGAGTATTGCTGTGGCTCAACCATTAACAACATTACATATTACACAAGGCAACCCGTGAAGCCTTAAGAAGCCTATGAACACTGATGTGCAGTGTTTGTATTCTTGTTGTCTTTTTTTACAATAATTTTACAGCTATAGTTTGTGTATATACATCTACGTACATAAACAATGGAGAAAGGTTTGTTTTGGTGTTCTGTTATAAAGACAAATCAAAAGAAGTCATTGGGCTTTCGTGGAGGCAGAGGTCATATTTGGTATGTTATCATAAACATGAGCCAACCAAGATTGTACCTGAATCTCTACAATTTGTATAGGGATGGAATTATAGCAACTTTCAAAAGTATAGAGTTTTAAAAATAGAGAAGAAACATAATTAGCATCACCAAGGTATATTTGTGTTTGTGCTGGCATAGATTCACTTGGTAAAAATAGCCTGCATTCTCCTGTTATGCTCATCCAGGGAACCGACTGCTCTACTCCATGTCCTCTGGGACGCTATGGGATAAATTGTTCTTCTCGCTGTGGCTGTAAAAACGATGCGGTCTGTTCTCCCGTGGATGGATCATGTATCTGTAAGGCAGGTAAGCGCATGTATGTGAATCTTTTATTTGGTCCTGGTCCTGTTACCTCCCAGAGTCACTGAAAGTCACCCCAATGGGGGCTCTAGCTCTAAATTCAGTAAAATCATAAAATGATGACTTCAGCATCCCTCGTCCTTCCTGAGTCCAGAAAAAGAAACTCAAACTCGGTCCTCTCTAAAGGTGCTGCCAGCTTTCAAAGTCTGAGTCCATGATTTGGGAAAGGGGAAACAAGCAGACGTGTCTATGCCCCCAAATGGCCCAATTTGGAATCATGACAAGCAATGTAGCCAGCACAGATTTTATGTGTGGCACAGAATGTGTCCTCCATAGATGCAGCCAGGATCTTGGAAACACATTTTTCATAGTTAATGGCTATTGCTTCAAAGATGGGGCTAGTCTTCCAAGGACAAGCCTTTCATTGCCTCTCATATAAACAGACAAAGCTTATCATTCTACCCTGAACATCACAGCACATTAAAGTCTTCACTCCACATCCCTTCCAAGGAGCGCAAGGGATGCTTCTCAGCATTGGCATCCCTGACCGATCACACAGCACGGTTGGCTGTTTGGTCCCTCAGAGGTTCCTTTTCATTTCTGGATGAGGCCTTTTGTGGCAGATCCAAGGCTGTCTGCTACTTCTGGGGCAGTGTTGTTATGCATTTCCAAGATGTCTGTACAAGGAGATGTGGCTTGGAAGGGCTCGGCGAAGCTCCCCGTTGCCTTTGTTTCCTTACACGCTCTGTCGTTCTCGTCACACAGGCTGGCACGGGGTAGACTGTTCCATCCGCTGCCCCAGTGGCACATGGGGCTTTGGCTGTAACCTAACGTGTCAGTGCCTCAATGGTGGCGCCTGCAACACGCTGGATGGGACCTGCACCTGTGCACCCGGATGGCGAGGGCCGAAGTGTGAATTTCCCTGCCAGGTGTGTATGCTCTGGGTAGCTATGCCTGGAGGACTATGCAGGAGGGATGACTTCTTTGTACAATTTTTTTTTTCCCTGACGGAAAGTGAAGAATGAGTGTGACTCAGTCTTCAGTAACTATTATAAGACTCGAAGTAGACAGAGGCTTGGAAAGGGATTGAGTGGAAATCAGCTAGGCGGGCTTTAAAGAATATCTCCTTCTCTCCTTTTGGCTCTCTGCTGATCTCCCAGCCCCCCACCCCCTCCGGTCCAGCATTTTTTGGTTCTTATACACATGTCTTTTGGTGGCAGCCAGGCAGCAGCACTGGTCAAACACCCAGTATATGCCTGTCAACTCTCCAAGTATTTTGTTTCCATTATAATGGAAATCTGCATGCTTTGGGGGTGGGAAGTGACAGGGAGTTGAAAAGGGAGCGGTGGCTGGTGTCACAGAAATGTGCACTGGAGTGATGAGGGCAGGTTTGGGAACAGCCTTGGCTAATGTAAATATTTCTGGAGGCACAGGAGTCTCCTCGGTGAGCACTCCCTTCCCTTGACCTAATTTGGAGCTGTGCACCCTTAGAACATACCCTCCTCCATAGCTGCTGCAGGCTAGCTGCCGGTGAAATGGAGAGTTCTGTAGTAACCTGTTGCATGCCTGCTTTCCAAAGCACTTGACTGGCTTCTTTTCCTGTTCACATCACACTTTCTTCTTGAGCCTTCAAGCATCCTAACAGCAGTGGTATGTTCTCTTCCCCGGGACATCATCAGATAACAATGTGACCCCCCTGAATTGGGCCATTTCAGAGACAGGGCTTCCCCCAGACCTCCTTTTCCTCCTCTGGGCCTCCTCTTGTTAAGTACAACTCATTTTCTAAAAGAGAAAGGATTCCTGCCCTGCATTATTCTGTGCTCCCCAAGCCCCCAGGAGTTAAGCAAGCTTTGCTGTGTCTGTTCAGACCAGTGAACCAATTATCAATGCCCAGAGCTAGGCTCTTACGTTGTCTTTTACTTGCTCATTATAGACAAAGTGGAAACCCCAGTGTACGCTGCCCGTTGTTTTGCATTAGGTATATTAGTAAATCTGGGAAGTCTGATGGTTCAGTGGCGTCTGTTATAACAGAGCTAACTGCTGTGCAATCCTGTCAAACATTAGTGTACCTAACAAGTGGTTAGTTGGCTTCTTTGCTTAATAAATTCTAGGCAAATGATTACATCATCTAACACCCGCTGCCTGGTAATGCTGTTTCTATGTCCCCACCCCCAGTCACTGGGCTGTTTTCCTCATTGTTTGGGTGATACAGGGATGTTTGTAATACCCTACACCAGTTCCTAGGATCTGGGGTAAAAAATAAGATTTCTCTCCAAATAGAAACATTTCCATTTCTTCCTCATGAATCATACCCATTGTCCAAGAATCTCCTCTTCATTGGACTACTCAACAGTAGCATGGACATGGAGGGGTGGATAAGGTGCCTGCCGATTGTGCATTTACAATTTTGAATCATAATGTTCTACACAGCTTGGCCTCTTTCTGGGAAAAGAAGCTATGTATTAAAGAAAATAATGATAGATTTTCAGTTTTCTTTATTATGTCATGTATTCCATTGACAACTTATAGAAATGATCTCAATTCAAATAAGTATATGTATATATACATGCACACATGTATATATACATATATTTGTATATACATATGTATATATATTAAGATGTATATATACAAACACACAGGCATATACTAGATAGATAAGGTCATAGTAAGTACATAGATACATATAAATGTTACTATAGTATCTATATGTTACTATATTACTATATTTCTATGTAACTGTGTTACTATGTAATATGTTACTATATGTAACACCTATGTATCTGTGTACTTACCATCTATCTAATCTGCCTTATCTAGTGTGTGTGTGTGTGTATGTTTGTGTTTTGTGTGTGTGTGTGTGTGTGTGTATCTTTTTTAGGTGGACAAAGACCTCTTTGTCCTCTAAGGAAGGGAATTGTCCAATTGTAGGGAAGACCAAACTATGTTGTAAGACTAGTTAGAGACAAATGAGCAGTTTTTTTGGGATTGTGGTAATGATAAGAAAAGGCTCTCTCGGTCAACTGGCATGCTTATATTTATTGTATGTATGCATATGCATGTGTTGGCATGAGTGGTTTAACCATGCAAATCTCCCAACTATTATATCAGGAATAAGCTAGAGTTAAAGTGATTTTAAAATGCTACCTCCTCAGGCTTGCATTTTGCATCATGGGGACAGGTAGTGAGAAGCATGTTCCTAAGAAGCATGTCAGGGCCCTTGTTGTTTGATGTCATGGGAATACCTAGGTTTGTCATTGCTGGTTTTAATGCTCTCTTCCTTGCAGGATGGCACATATGGGCTGAACTGTGCTGAGCGCTGTGACTGCAGCCATGCAGATGGCTGTCACCCCACTACGGGCCACTGCCGCTGCCTTCCTGGATGGTCAGGTAGGAGCTTAGGGCCAGTGTTTGAAAGAGATAGCCAACACTTTAGTATCTAGTGGTGTTGTTTGCCTCTTCAAAGAAACACATACAGCTCGGTTTTTCAGAAAAAAAAAATCAAAATGTAGTAAAGTCCCCAGCAAGGGGACACAATCTTGCCATGATATGTTAAGTGTGGATGTGACTAATCAGTCACTCAGAGTAGTCACTTCTATTGAGCTGACATGCAAGATCTGGTTGCTAAAACGTAGGCCAGCAAGATTTCTGTTATATATTTTGAGTATTGAGAGAAAAGGAAGAATAAAATAAATCCAAAAACTATAATTGGAATCACTATAGACATAAAACTATTAACTATTACTAATATAGTTCATATGCAAATAGTGAATCTCCTGGAAATTAAAGTTTAAGAACTGTATCTTTCTTAAAAATTTGAGTCATGACAAATTCATGTTATGATTGAGCACGAAATGTCTACCCACAGTAGAAAGCCCTCCTTATTTTATGTGGTTTTATGACTTCAGCTATGAAGTCTATCAGGCAAGTCATGGTACTGGAAGAAGAATGATGTTTTTACTCACGATGTCCAAGTTTGCTTAGACACTTAGTGCCATCTTCAAAGCCCACAGTAAATCATGAACAAGAACATTGCTCTTCTTGCAGGACCACTTTGCATTCTCACCAGCAATGCCTGAGTGTTCCCATCTCCCCACACACACATCTGTCTTTTTGGTGACATCCTTCTCCGTGGGTGTGAAGTAGAACCTCTTTAAGGTTTTCCTTGTGCTCCTCTGGTGGCTGAGGATCCATCCTGTGCATTGATTGACCACCTATAAACCTTCTCCATAGAAATATCCATTTAAAGCCTTCATTAATTTTTAGCTGAGCTATTTTTCTTTATACAATTGAGTCCTAAGACCACATTATATAAATGTTCTTAACCAGACATGATTTACAAACATTCATTTTTATGTTCTGATTTTCTTCTTTGTTATTCTCATAGTGTTCTTTGGAGCAGAAGTTTTTATTCTGATAGTCTACCTTGTCTAATTTTAAAATCCTGTTCCCTTGTGCTTTTTGGTATCAATTCTAAGGAATCAAACTGGAAAAATGGCTCAGTGGTTAAGAGCACTGACTGATCTTCCAAAGGTCCTGAGATCAATCCCCAGCAACCACATGGTGACTCACAATATCTATAATGGTGCTCTACATAAGATAGATAAATAAATAAATAAATCTTTAAAAATTTTAGGGTATCATTGTTTAATACAAAATTACAGAGATTTTTGTGTTGTCTTCTAAAATTTTATATAAACACACATCTATCTATCTGTCTGTCTGTCTGTCTGTCTATCTCTATCTCTATATCTTTTATATTTAGATCTTTGATTCACTTTGAGTTAATCTTTTATATAGTATGATTGGGGCTGTGGGGGCAAACTTTATTCCATAACCAGTGATCCCAGAATAGTTTTCTTGAAGACTATTCTACCACCTATTGAATGTCTTATTTTTTTTCCTTGCTAGAAGTCAATTTTCCATAGACGTGAAGCTAATTTCTGGATGCTCTATTCAATCCTATTGATCTGTATGTTTGTTCTCACACTAATAAAATTCTTCCTTGGTTGCAGTAGCTTTATAGGAGGTTTTTAATTTGGAAAAGTATAAACATTCCAATCTTTCTCCTTTTTTATGGTTGCCTCAGTCATGCTGGACCCCTTAAATTTCTGTATGAGTTTTAGCATTAATACATTAGTCTCTAAAAATGAGCAAGATGGTAACTTAATGGAGTTTAGCGGATAGTTTAATTTGGAGAGCCTAACAAGCACAGCCTGTCACCAGCAACTCCTCCAAGGGGATCTTTTATCCCTCCTAGAATTTGCTGAGAGCTTCTTCAGTTGCAGATAGGTAGAAAAAAATAGGATGAACTGTCATGTTAGCGTCATGTGTTAGAGCTACCTTATCAGATAGGACTAGCTGTACAATGACTTCATTTGCTGTCAGTAGGAGCGACCCAGGGACTCAAGGCCCCTGTCTTTGTAGTTCCTTCTTGCCTTGTGAACCTGGCTTTACAGTACAAAAGTCCACCTTTCTGTGTCCCTTATCATGACTGATGTTGAAGCTGGATCATGTCAGGCCTTAAATAGCATCTGTGATTTCATCAGGGTTCTTGAGTTTTACAAAACTGACAGACCAGTATTTAATTCTCAGTGACTTTAGTGAGAAAAATTGCACTTAATATCTGGTAAATTCAGTGCGATCCTGACGTTACTCGATTTGGGCCCTACTTTACCAAGTCTACTTTTGTCTTATAAATTCATAGAGAATGGGAGGTGTCCTTGAACATACCAGTCAGAACTCAAGTGTCAACCTGCTCTGATGATTTAACAAGGCCAGGCTGTAAAAGGCACACCCTAATACACAAGAGGAAAGCAAGAGATGAGCTGGCTTAAAGCCAGTCAGAAAATGTGTTCCTGGCATTCCACAGTCTGGGTCATGGGGTAAGACAAATTATCCCCCATCTGGCCTTAGACCTACCAGGCTCCTGTGGGAATGCACTGGCTTTGCCACACAATGTGATCATATAATCCTCTCTGCATCTGTGACCGGCCTGCTTCCTGTCTCATATCATGGATCTCTCCCTCTCTCTCTCTCTCTCTCTCTCTCTCTCTCTCTCTCTCTCTCTCTCTCTCTCTCTCTCTCTCTTTCTCTCTCTCTGTCTCCCTCCCTCCCACCCTCCTTCCCTCTCCCCCCCACACACACATATCTGGCTTTTGTATACATCCCAGGCACACTTGACTAGTGATGGAATCCCTCCACAGTGGACTAAACCCTACTATATAAATTAGCATTTATGAAAATGAATCAAAGTCATGACCACAGAGCAGTGTGATCTAGGCAATACTGAGTAGAGGATCGCTCTACTCAGGTGACTCTAGCTTTGTGTCACCTTGATTACTGAGGTTACTATAACACTGTGATGTTTTATTTATTGAAATTTCATTTACTATCTGGTTAAAGATTACTTTCCATCCAGATAATAAAGGCAATGTATATTATTTTTGCTCTTCTACTTTTTATCAATTTTAACTGATGAATAAAGATTGGATGCAAATGAATGTGCATATACCATGTGGCTATACAAAGCACTGCTGACAAAATGAATTTTTAGACCTGGAGTGGTGGCTATGCAGTTGGAAAACTTGGTGCTCTTTCAGAGGACTAAGGGATCTGACACCTGCTTCTGATCATCATGAGCATTGGTAATGAACATTATATTTCCTGGATATATGTGTGTGTGTGTGTGTGTGT